AAATGTTAAACATAACGATTTCATGTTTGTGTCATAACAACGTTGAAATAAATGTTCAGTATAATAAGGATTGTTTCGTTCAACCGATTTTCTTTAAACAACCACCAAACAATTACACTGACTCATCAGCCCTTTCATATATGGGGGGCTTTGCAGATAAATACAAGACACTTCACTCACTCATAACCCAGCTCTAGAAGTGGAGAAATAGGTATGATCTTTTTCATTTTGGAAATTTCCATCTTTTGAGTTGCATCTCCTCGCGGGGACAACCCCAACTAATAAAAACACACATTCAAATAATAGAACAAAAGGTTAATTACATAAAGCAATTTGCAGATCTGCTGCACCAATCAGAAACACTTTGTATATAAAGCTTTCATGTGTTTATAAAAAAAGTGACATCCATTCAAAAAGAATGTGGGGATTATAAAAAATAAAATTATAATCTGAAAGTGCAACATAAATACATTCGTGATGCATTAGGGCAGAATGTAGGTATGATTACAACTGAATCCACTTGTCTTCCTTTGATGGAGCTCCTCCTTTTGTAGAGTTCATATTCAAATGGAATTAAAAGTGAACAGATGTTTAAACCTGTCAGGATTCTTACCTAGTAAGCCCTTTTTACAAACTGATAATGGTCTGGGTAGCAAATGGACTAATTCATGGTCTGTTTCGGTGCTAGACTTCATTTTTGATCCATCAAAACAATTCAACAGCACAGCTGGTTATCACGTGATGTTTGGGGGTATGAAATTCTGGTTGTATTGTGGCATTACCGTCGGGTATAGCACTCTGCAATGAGAGTTTAATGTTTCACAAATACCTCAATGTTTGCTTCATTCTTTCTTTCTCTGTCATCTCCTAATGACCAAACAGAATCACTTACTCTAACTTCAGTAGGTAGGAGTGAATTTTTACACAAATAAAAGTGATTTACTACTCTTGGGTCATTCCATGTCAGACCAACGCACTTTTTTACCTCATGTCTTCCGATTTTAATAAAAAATTGCTGTGCTTGAAGGTCTAATGAGCAATGAATACACACCAATTTTTAGCCCGATCCGACCTATTACGTGGTCAGGGCAGAAGCCACAAAAAATTGCATTTTTAGAGTAAAATACCACCCTTTTGGTATAAATATGTCAAAACTATGGCAATTTTCATCGAATATATGTGAATTTGGCATTAAAATAATGAGGATTGCATGCTCAAAGCACTTCTTTTCTCAAAATTAAATTTTGTGAAAAGTAGGTCACATGACCTTTAATATGCGATCGTGACCTTTGACCCATTTTTTGGTAATAATGTATCATTCCGAAAATCAACGAAATAAAAATAACTTGCTAGAGCATATCTTCCTCTATCAGAATCTACTAACAATCAGTTGGGATCTTAAAAATTTACAACTTTATGACTATTTTTGTACAGTTGGTAGGTTACAAATGAGTCAATTTATAGACTTTACATAAGAAATACACCAACACAACTTACTATTCTGTTTCTAAAGTTTCTAAAATATATCTTGGTTTGTGAATTTCTCATTCTGAGGGCTGATGAGGTCTAACCAGACTCATAGTGTAATTATCAGCAGTGGCGCACCCAGGATTTGGCTTTTGGTGGGGGGGGGGGTCATAAATCGTTTTTTGTTCAAATTTCTGTAAAAGATTGGACCAACAAAACTAGCCTAAAATCAAACAAACAAATTGACAATGTTGGGGGTGGGTTCAAGCCCCCCCCCCCCCTCCTGGGTGCCACTGATAATTAGTTATCGAGCGCGCTTGGAATATGAAATAATGCAATGCTCCACGAGCGCAAGTGGGATTTATAACCAGTTTATCTTCAAGCAAACTTGATATCAAATGCGTACACGCGGTGAAGATGTACGTGCATACATGTAGTGTATTAGTCCGTTCAGCAGGAAATAACACAGCATATGTACACGTACATTTTTAATATCTGGGGTGCAATATAGCTGTGCAATATTATATAAAATCACACAGTTGTTGCTACATGTATAGATGGACTAATCAGGGTCTAGGATTCAAGTTTGCTTGAAGATAATACTTAATATTACAATCAAAGTTACCTTTACTCATTCATCACTGTGCTTCTTGAAATTTAATGACTCTCACAGACTTGGCATTTTGTTCCTTTGAGATGAATTTCACCTGGACGTGAGTCCACTGTACTGGGTGAAGGCCTGGTTACTGTTAGTGGTTAGCACACTTCCGAGTCCAGATATTCTGATTAGACAGTTTCTTTGGAATCAGAAGGTAGAATTTTGTTTTTCCTGGCTTTGTACTTTATACATAAAAATCTAGATAAATTTTAGTAACTTAAGAAACAGAATAGTATGTTGTGTTGGTGTATTTCTTATGTAAAGTCTATAAATTGACTCATTTGTAACCTACCAACTGTACAAAAATTGTCATAAAGTTGTAAATTTTGAAGACCCCAGCTGATTTTTAGTAGATTCTGATAGAGGAAGATATGCTCTAGCAAGTTATTTTTATTTCGTTGATTTTCGGAATGATACATTATTACAAAAATTGGGTCAAAGGTCACGATAGCATATTAAAGGTCACGTGACCTACTTTTCACAAAATTTAATTTTGAGAAAAGAAGTGATTTGAGCATGCAATCCTCATTATTTTAATACCAAAATTCACATATATTCGATGAAAATTGCCATAGTTTTGACATATTTATACCAAAAGGGTGGTATTTTACTCTAAAAATGCAATTTTTTGTGGCTTCTGCCCTGACCACATGGTAGGTTCGGATCGGGCTAAAAATTGGTGTGCATTCATTGCTCATCAGGACCTACAAGCACAGCAATTTTTATTAAAATCGTAAGACATGAGGTAAAAAAGTGCGTTGGTCTGACATGGAATGACCCTCTTAGGAAACAAGAGGATAATTTTCTGTCAACAGAGGCACATCTCTTAAGACCTGTAACAAAAAGGGGGTACTGCGTAGCACTAATGAAGAAGTAAATGAAAGTATAAATTTACGTATCGTTTTGCCAAATTTTTGGACACCTTGTCCTTCTTTAGGGTGTAAAGCAAGGTTGCAAATGAGGAAACGCGGAGAACTTGACACTGATCCCACGTGGGAACAGCGTTCCAATGTGGAATATCAGATGCTGCTCCTCGCTCATTCTGCATTTCCTCAGTCTGTGTGATTGTCAGCAGCTGTTAGCTTCACTTCCATCTTCTTCCTCGATATCGCTAATCTCGATGAAAGGAAACTGCTTACCCATGAGCATCCACTATGAGTCATCACATCCCGGAAAATGCAAGGATTCCATCCTGTATTCCCAGTTCCCTCACATCGTGACATCTGTAGTGAGGGATGGCGACTTCATGCAGCAAAGCCAACAAATGCGGTTATTTTTATTTCTAGAGGCTGTGTTACAACTGATAATGTAGTAACCAACGGATAATGTATCACAACCGATAATGTCACACAAATTGACCGAAACTGTAACACTAACTGATAATGTAACACAAAATTGACCGATAACGTAGTAAAATGTACTACACTATCAGTACACTGCTGTTACAGTATCGGTCCTAACCGATAATGCAACAAAAATTGACTGATAGAGTAGTAACATTTACTACATTATCCATCATTTTTTGTTACATTATCGGTTAATGATACAGTACCGGTCAATTTGTTTGGCATTATCGGTTGGTGATACGTTATCAGTTGGTTACTACATTATCAGTTGTAACAGGCTGTACCGAATACAGTGATTTCATCCGCTCTCCTTCGTGTCCCCGCCCTCACGCGTCAACATTGCACTGCATCCTGTATCCCCCTTGTCTTGACTTACCAACCACAAAATGTGAAAGTCTGAGATGTTTTGATGAAACATTACAAATCCCTGCAACAAGACCCACTGACCAGCAGCAGCTTCAAGTACATCGCACCTACCTGTGCCTTCCACCATGACAAATCTGTTGCCAATCAACTGTTTCGATCCATACTTCATTACATGTCCTACACCCCGGGTCCACCCCAGTGAAACAGAACCTTGCCACAGTTCGCGCTGCATGACATGACACTATTTTCGATTTTCTGTTAATAGAAATTCAGATTTTTTAAAAGTCATATATGCAATTTTTGACATTCTGCTTGTAGAAATGCGGAAATTTGGTGACCGCCTGTGTACAAGAAAATAAAAATCCAAATCTTTGATAATAGAACAAATGAAAATTTAGAAAAAGGACTAAATTCAATCAAAACTGTGTGTTTTTTTTTCTGGCAAATTTTTGACGAAATTGACTGTCCACTTTTTATGCTGTTGGGTTAAGGCTGTTTTTGATTTTCCACTCGTAGAAATTCGGACATTTGGTTTGTACACTTTTTGAACGCCTTAGTACCAGAAAATAAACAAAATCAAAATTTTCGAGAATAAGAATTGAAAATACAGAAAGAAGACTCCATTTCAACCATAATTCTGTTTTTGTTTTAACAGATTTTTCAGAAAATGGGTTGTCCACTTTTGGTCCTCCATAACTTACGAAGCTTGAAAAGAAAGGACATGACACCGCTGTTGGGCAACATTTCTCTACTCCACCCCACACCATTGAAAACATGTGCGTGGGCGTCTTGACAACCACGGAGACTGAGGAAATACAGGAGTGGGAGCAACCTCATATATTACACCTTGAAAAGTTGTTCCTGCGTGGCATCAATGTCAAGTTCTTCACGTTTCCTCAATGCACCCTGAAGAAGGACAAGATGTCCCAAAATTTGGCAAAGCAATAACTGGTGAGCACTACTTAAATTTATATTTTCGTTCTCTTTGACACCTTGTTTCTTTTTTTCCTAGCAACTACAAAAGAAAAAAAAAAGTAAAAAAGAAGGCTTCTTTTTCTACTGTTTTTTCTTTTCTTTTGAAAACAAACATTCCTTACAACAAAGATAAATAATTTATTATCAATGTTTGAACTCTTTGATACAAAAAAAACACCCCAAATTACCTGGCATCTGCTTTTGGCATAGGGAAAAATCTGCATCCAATGATGGTGTAACATTTGCTGCTCTAATTATAGATGGTGCAAGCAGTGAACTTGGGAGGGATGTGCACGATGTTTCCTGTTTCATCCTTGCCACTGCCAAAACAAAAACCATCTGGACATCAATCACAACTATATTTTATTTAATGAATGTTGCATTTACAATAACAAGCATAACCATAACATGACTTTTGTTTGAAATATATTTTCATCAGTCTTTTGCCGGTGGTCATGGTAGTGGGGCTGTTAAGGTCAAATAGGTGATATAATTGTGCACTTTGTGACTAAAGCATGAAACTTCTCACGTTGGTTCTCATGCCATGCAGAAAATGTTCAGATGTAGAGACATTTCATATTTGACCTCTGGTGACCTTTGGTGACCTTTGAGAGGCTTTGAGAGGTCAATGACCTTTGCATACACTATTTATAAATAATTATTCTTGAAAACACCACTTTCCTATGACCCCAGTCTATGTCATAGGTCTTCAGGCCATGGAAATAATGATCAGATGTGAAGAAAAAAAATCAGAGGTCAATGACCTATACACAGTATTGATAGTTATTTATAAGATTTACAATTTAAACCCCAACTTTTTCAGGACCCAACTCTAGAAGTTAGGTGTTCATGCCATGAAAAGCATTTTCATATGAAGGGCAGTTCATATCTGACCTCTGGTGACCTTCAAGAGGTCAATGAACTTTGTATGCGCTTTTTATAGATATTTATAAGATTTACTATTCAAAACCCCACTTTTTTATGACCCTAGTCTAAAAGTTGGTTCTTCGTGACGTGAACAGAACTTTTAGATGTGTGACCATTCATATTTGACCTCTGGTGACCTTAAGGGAATGTACATCATTCGTTTTTGCTGTAAATTTAAGAAATGAAGTATTTGATGGGTTAGTATAATGATTCAAATATTGTTACACTGACAAGTTTGAAGGTTTGTGTTCGAAAATGCTGGAAAAATCAAGAAAAACAAAAATGTTCAAGTAGTCTGGTTCCCTGACTCCATTAAAATTAAATGAATCAATTTATAGATGCCGGAAAATTGTAATGTAAGGAGACCAGTCAAGCTGGCCTGCACCCGTTCATGAACATGTTACCAATAGCAAACAAAATTTGGACTGAAAAAAATAATAAATTTGGACCAGTAGTTAAAAAAATAGTCAGGTTTTTCCAACAGTGGTCGGCTGACCACCGTTGGAAATTTATACAAAATACCACTTTTCTTGAAAATGGCTTCACACCAGGTGCCATAATTTTACGGGATGCTTTAGACTTCAGTTACCAACATCGTAATAAGGTATTTTGCAAAAATTTGGTAGTTTTGTTTTCCGATGTTTGCAAATGTTGTAAATTCCCTTTCAGAGGCAAATAAACTTTTGTATATACCATATTTGCTGCTATTTATCATATTTAATATTCCAAATTCCACTTTTTCATGACTTAAGTCTAAATAGTTCAAAACAAGTGTATTTTAAGTATTATTCTACAGCATGTCATGAATTCAGACCCCAAGGACAATTTTGTTATGACCGCTGATCACCATTTCCCTTTTGAAGGGCAGACAGGGGCACAACAGAATACAAGAGGTACATTGGACAAGAATTACACTGTAACAGTGACCAGTGGGCTTGGTAAGAAGGTTAAAAATGTGGTGACCCAAGCCCATCTAGATACCACAGAGTGTAATAAGTACACAAGATTGAATATTGTTAGACACTGTACATAATACAATATAAAGAAAGTCCAACAGTCTTCTACCCCTGTCGCAACATGTTGCGTCTGCCAAATGAAAAAAGGAAATGGAGGTCAGATGTCACCCCATTTTTTTTGTGGGATTTGAATTCATTACATGACTGTATAATAATAGGTGCAATACCTTTCTTTTGCAACATTGAGGCTTGGGTCACGAAAAAAAAGGTGTTTTGAAAAATAAATATGAAAAAATATTGAAAAATAAGGTATATTTATTTCACTGACCTATCAATGGGTACCAAAGGTTAGATATGATGTCCTCATATCTGAAAATTCTTTTCATGCCACAAAGAACAAATTTTTAGACTTAGGTCATGAAATAATTAAGTTTTGAAAAATAAATCTTATAAATATCTAGAAATAGGACATACAAAGTTTATTGACAAGTAAAACCCAGATCTGGGTGGATTACACAATATTTGTTTTATTTACATTAAAAAATACGGCATATTTTTTGATATACATGTACATGTATGTACCAAATGTATAATTATTATAAGTGCTACCTGTAACTCCAGATTAAAAAGGTATGACTGTAAAGTTTAGTCTAGAAAGTCAAAGTAAATGAAAAGTTCTTTAATTGAGACATTTTAGAATGGTCGGGTTCTGATAAATCTTCTTTTTCTTTTCCTGGACAATACTTCTCAGTGGGTTTTCTCCTAAACGGTTTATGACATGAAATTGTAACTTCCAATATATTGACCTCACTCTGATGTCATGATGCCAACTATGGCGTCATGATTACAAGCGATTTTCATTGGAACAAAAATGACCAATGTCATTAACTTATAACTCTCAAACAAAATAATTAATCATGTTTATACGTTGTTTTTCAGATACATTAACATTTTTGGTCACGTACGTGAACTCTCGACATTTACTTCCAGGTCAACCAGAAAGTCAAAGTTAGCTGAATTTAAAATACAGACAGAAACCTCAAATCAAAACGAACCGAATCTCTACCAAATGATTTACTGGATAACAGTGGCGTATCCAGGAATTTTTCAGTGGTGGGGGGGGGGGGGGGGCTGGGGGGGGCTGGAACATTTCATGGGGGGCGTCATGTAGATCAATGATAATTTTTTTTAGAAACTCAAAATCTCAGTGGGGAGGGCGACTGGGGGGGGGGGGGCGACAAGGTTTCAGGGGGGGGGGGCGGTCGCCCCCCACGCCCTCCCGGTGGCTACGCCACTGCTGGATAATGATAAACCTAGTATGATCTTGAACCCCTGTCCGAAGCAATTAAATGGCCAAATTTGAGAAAATACTTTCAGCTATATCGTTAGAACTAAATAGAGTATCGTGTTCATATTTCATGAGTTTGTAAATATTGCCTTGGGCAACAATTCTTATTCCCAGGCACAAAACCGCTTGACCTTCACTTCCAGTGTTACCGGAAGTGCAATAAAAATAGAATATAACTCGAAAGTGGAAGCTTTTTTTTCTCTATAAGCAAATAAATTATGGAGTGTTTAGAGAGAAAAAAAGGACCAAAAAAAACCCCACAGCATTGTGACATTATCAGCTGAGATAGCGCACTCTAGCGCATCATCAAATAGGGTTTCCTTTTTTTATTTAAAAAAAACATCCATCTAAATTTAACCAAATTGCCCCTTGTTATTTTTTCTCTATCAACTACTCATAACTTTGCAAGGTTTCAAAATCATGATAGCATCATATCGAAAGTTACTGTAGGGAGAATTTGAAAGGATCATTTTGTATTCAATTTTGATCCCTGTCTGATGACTGTTCATAGCCCAAATAATGATATCCATTACAATGTTTGACCTTTATATCTTTAATGCTGTGACGTCATCAAACCAAAAGAAGGGTGTTTTTTTTATACTTACACTTATGTTTTCCATATTTTCATGCTTGTTTACTTCATAATGAACATGTATCCTCTCCAAACTACACTAGTATTTACTTTCCTTTTGATGACGTCATCAAAGCAGAAAAAAACTTGTACGTGTACATAAAATGTGTACTGAAATTTGATGCATATTTGTCTTAAACAAAATAATTGGTTGTACTGGAACTAAAACTGGGACCAAGCCACTGTCAACCCTCATCCAGCCAGCTTGAGTGAATCCGGATTGATAGGAGGGAGAAATAAATCCTTCTCCCAAACACATGCTTGGCAATGTGCTCTAAAGATGTGTTTTGTCCATGCACAGCTTGGGCAACTTGACTTATGTACAGGACTGTATGATATACTGATATTGGCATTACTATAGGCAGTGTGAACGCTATGCAAGTAGTGACACAACCATAAAGATAGACCTATAGGGTAGCCCAAAACAAGTTTACACTTTTTCAGAAGTGGTTTTCTCAAAATTGGACAGTCATATTGAAAGGCCCACTATGGTGAAAATGGCATTGAAAATAAAACCTTAAATTAAGCCATGTACACAAAAATTGTCAAATGGCTGTTTTAAATATACCAAAAGCTTAATGGCACTTTGAGAGCCTCAAAATTTTGCAACGATATAGAACTGGAAATCAGTTTTCATACTTTTTGTAGCATGGACCAAGATTGATCTTTCATAGCTTAACCCCCCAAAAATTGCTTATGTGAGTGACATGTTGCTGAACTGCCAAATGTTAACGGAATTTTGTCAACCAAAACAAGAGACAATTTTGTTTTGGTTGGAAAATAAAAAAAATAATTCAGACACAATCATTTTCTTTCTTATATACAGGGTGAAAAAGCGGAACCCAAACCCCCAAAAATGTTTTTCATATTTTAAACAAGTCAGGTGTATTTACAAACACAAATGCCCCGCAACCGTGACTGTTCCCATGACATAACACCACTCTTTTAACATCAACTTACATGTATCTTGGTCACATGGAACGTTCATTGACAGCATAAGTGTTTTCTGTAGGTTTTATATGAATTAATCCCTATGATCTCAGAATAAATACAAGATTTCTATTGTTTTAGCCAGTGACCTTGACCCTTGACCTTTCGACCCCCAATGCTATAGGCTTTTTGGATTACCAAGAACAATCCACAAACCAAATTTGAAGTTCGCATGTAAAGTATTTCTCAAGTTATCATGTTGACAACATTTCTTTTGTTTTAGCCACTGTGACCTTGACCTTTTGGCCCCAAATGCAATAGGCTTCTTAGGATCACCAAGAACAATACACAAACCAAATTTGAAGTTCATATGTTAAGTATTTCTTAAGTTATCGCGCTGACAAGATTTATCCGGACACACACACTCACCCACACAGTCATTTTTTGCTATGCTTCCGAGGATTGGCTTTGTGTTTTCCTTTGTCCCTGTAATATAACACTCTCCCATAGACTAAGTACACAAACCTGCGTTCGAGGACAATAGGCACCTTCGTTCGAGGATGAATGGCCCCTTTGTTCTCCTTTTATTGTCTGTCCTCGAGCGTAATGCAATGCAGGACACACACACACACACACGGACAGACAAGGCGGAAACAGTATGCCCCTTCGGCTTCACCGGCGGGGCATAAAAAGTGTCTTTAATATAAACTGTAGGCGGTGGCCATTGTGACGTTTAAAATGGCTGTTACAATTTAAGTGTACTGCGGAGGAGGTCCAGCAATTGAAGTCAGGATAAAAATTTAAAAGATCAAAACACAAATGTCTCAAAAGTCAATTATTTTGTTAATTCGTATGTGTTCATTACATGTAGGATAGATGTTTAAAATGCTGCCATTTGGAAATTCAAAATGGCAACTGTAGGGGCATTGGAAAAATTGGGACCCCGAGAATGTCAAAGATGGAATATGCTGCTTTTTATGAAAGAAAGTGTGACTTACTCCAAAGGTGAACAACTTTTTTATGATTTGATAGGTAAACAATATGTCTATCCATTTTACTGAACTCAATGGAAACAAAAACCCAAAATACCCCCCAAAATGTCTGTTACAGCTTGATTTTCAGTTAATGCCACTCCCCCCTGCTTTTATAAAATGAGGCCCATCCTCGAAGAGGCAACATTCTAGATTTGTTTTTCTTGTGATGTAGTACTTGGGTGAGCTGTCCAAATTCTAAAAAGAAAAGTGAAATTATTTGAATCATTTTTGCACATGAAGCCCCCACTTTTAAAATGCATGGTCCCACCCATAAAAAGGGTCAAGAAGAAATGGCATCAAGTGGTTTTAAACTTCTTGAGATATCTTATAGTGCTAATGAGAGTTTCAAAGAATGTACCCGAATATTGCCTATATTGCCATAGATGGGAGATTGTGATAATTTATGCAATTCCGCGCTTCATCCAATGGGAGTCGACTTTATTAAAACGTGACGTCATTTCATTCCCAAAGCAGAACTAAATGTATAATTTATCAATCAGAATGCAGTGTTTTGTAATACAACAACAGCCAGGCGCATAACGCGTAACATAATACAGAACTTGTGATCACAACCTTGGCTATGATGCGACCTGGGTGAATGACCGAAGACCTGATATAGAAGGTGCTGCTGATTAGTAAAATCTAGAGGTCAAGAGGTGGTCATGTTGCACAATTAATCAGTGAATCTGTTCAAATATCATAGACCATGGCTTCGCAATGGTCTATTACATAGACTACTGACTAGCTTACTGTAGCAGAAAAATCTGTGCTTACGGTAAGCGTATTTCACAGGTTATCTTGTAATTTTGGCATCTGCGCCTACGTATATCTTGTAACTAAGGATTCAATGCATACAAGGTAAGCACAGAATTTTTTTGCTAGCCCGGTTAGCACAAAATGGTGATCTGAGCACAGAATTCTGTGGTTAGTGGAGCCATGAAATAGGGGCACAATGACTTCAATATCCATGGCCAATATTATAAGACATTGCCATTGACTTCATTTATCAAACAGTTCAATCTACACAAAATCAATTAAATTATTCACTGTGCTCACCTTAATTTTCATTCAGGTAAAAAAACTGCTGGATTTTAAGTCAAGCTTGGAAGAATCTAAGTTACTGAATTACCTTGATTTGATGATGAAATTGTGCTTCTGCAGACAGACTAAGCTTCAAACCCATCCTGATGGGGGACTTGTACACGTCGAGGCTGTTGTAGGCCTTGAGTTACTACCCATGTGACATATAAAGTGCAAAACAATCTATTAGTTTATAATATCAAAATAACTTAGATTACAAAATCTTAGCTTATGTGTATTCATACAAATAAGACCTTTGGGCTAATATCTCATTTATCTCAACTTATGACGGGAAAGGAAGAGTTAAGCAAGAATATGACTACAAACGTTAAATTACCAGGAAAATTGAAAGAACAGACCTTCCCAAATCAGGAAGGTTTTTGGTTAGTATGATTAACTCTATGTCTACACTAGAGGCCTACCAACATAAGAGGAAAACTTGTGGCTATTTTTTTTGTTCTCACTTCATTTTATTTCCTTGTAACATTTCTAAAAACATTATTCAGTGCCATTGTCTAAGCCGGAGTTCAGCTTACTACATTTAACATGTAGTAAGTTTAAAGGGAATATACAACATTTGCAATCATCGAAAAATAAAACTATCAAGTTTTTACGAAATACTTTACTTGGATGTTGGTAAATGACAGTCAAAAGCATCCTGTAAAATTATGGCTCCTGGTGTGAAGTCATTTTCAAGAAATTGGCATTTTTGTATACATTTCCAACAGTGGTCGGCCGATCACCGTTGGAAAAACCGAACTATTTTTCAACTTCTGCTTCAAATTTACCATTTTTTCAGTCCAAATTTTGTTTGCTATTGGTAACATGTTCATGAACGGGTTCTTGGTTTTTCTAGCATTTTCGAACACAAAACTTCAAACATGTCAGTGTAACAATATTTGACCTATAATACTAACCCCTCAAGTAGTTCATTTCTCAAAATTACAGCAAAAGCCAATGATGTACATTCCCTTTAACAAGTAACAGGCCTACAAATGGGCCTTATTAATTGACAGCTTGAAGTTTAACCTTGCTAGTTCGAAGCACACAGTTTTTCAATGTCATTAATTAATATCTTAATCACAGGCCCAAACTTAGGCAAATATAATTAGGCCTCACTTATTTATTACATTTCTTTACCCAAAATGTGTCCAAACAGTTCAAAACTGGTTTCGAATTGGGGCCCTGCATACAATAAAAATGATTACAAATATGTATACAAATTCAATACATTACAAATGCAATGCAATACAATCATATTTATATAATATTGGATGGGGGTGGATACAAGAATAATTGCACGAGCTATGACAATATTGCACGAGTCGAAGACGAGTGCAATATTGTCATAGCGAGTGTGATATATTCTTAAGCCATCCAATATTATTATTATTTATATCAGGCTGACTTGATCCGCAAGAAATACAATTCAAGACACTTTCTTCATTTCATCTTTTTCGTCAAACTATTTGAAGCCGCCGCTGTTGACAACATATAGTACACGTAAACCTGGCCTTCTGCAAGCTGCATGCGCACAGCGTGTTCTGTGTTCGACGGTACGCACGCTACGCTCTGTTGAGTGGTTAACAACTGTGACTTTCTATGCTCTTGATCGTGGGGGAACCAGCGAAAATGCCCGGATGACTGCAATAACAATTAATGTTATTGTAGTCATCTGGGTACTTTTTTTTAATGAAAGCATGCAATACGCTGATTTATTTTTACTGCTGGAAGCCTGATATAAATAATAAAAAGCATATTGAATAATTGCATAATTGTTAAGCAACTATTATGAATTATAACACCTCACTCACAGATTCTGTGTCTTGATTGGCCGAGAGCGCGTCACGTGTCACTTGCTATTTTTACTATTTTTTACTTGCCCTCCAAAAAGACTATACCACGTAGCAACGAAAGCATAGCATAGCAACGAAAGCGTGACTGAAACCCAGACGTGTGTTTCGGTGCATTGCGTAAACATTGCTCTATCACCCTCGCACCCGTTCATCAAGGCAACAAACTACACGTATGATCGAGAAAAAGGGAACGAAGATACAAATAGTCGGGTGCCCTTTCAAAACGCAAATTTAACGTACATTTCTTTCGTAAATAACGCACTGCTTGCACACAGGTTGACAAAATGGAGAGTACTACTAAAGAACCTCGATTTGCACTTCTTACGGACGACGAACTGACAGAATTCCTTGATTCTTCTGCTTCAGAAAACCCCCAAAAAAGTGTGAGATACGCCATGAAAATTCTGGACAGCTACTGCAAAGTCAGAAACACGACATTGTCAGCGCTTGAACTAATGAACCACACGGACCTCGATAACTTTTTACGCAGGTTCTACACGGAAGTGCGTCAACTCGACGGTAAGAAGTACAGTAAAAAGAGTATGCAGTCCATCAGATACGGTTTGCAGAAACACTTTAAAGATAGAGAAAACAATCCGGTAGATATTGTGAATGACCACGCATTCGAGAGATCGAATAGGTGCTTCAAAGCCATGCTTGTTCACTTGAAGAAAATTGGAAAGGGATACGTGGAGCATAAAAACCCAATTACTCCAGAAGACATGGACAAAATAAACGCTTCGCCAGTTACAGACCTGTCCACACCAGCTGGTCTTCAGAACAAGGTGTACATAGACACTATGATATACTTCTGTAATCGAGGCAGGGAAAATGTGCGAGACATGAAAAAAACAGACTTCAAAATAAACACTGATTCCAACGGGCTGCGGTACATCACGAAACGTGATCAACTTACCAAAAATAACAGGGAAAAAAGCAGTGACAAGAGCCAAGCAGGTGTGATGTACGAAGTGCCAGGCAACCCCCGCTGTCCTGTGAACTCTCTTCTCCTGTACATGCAGAAGCTCCATCCTAACTGTGAATATTTTTGGCAACGACCAAAAGACAACACTTGCACGAGCTCAGACACAACATGGTATTGTAATTCGCCGCTGGGAAAAAACTCTCTTTCCAACAAATTGAAGGAAATTTCTACAGCAGCCAGATGTGGTAAGATTTATACAAACCACTGCTTCAGAGCTACAAGTGTCACAATTCTGGACAATGCTGGGTTCGAGTCCAGAGATATCATGACCGTTTCTGGACATCACTCCGAAACGAGCATAAAAAATTACAGCCGAACCAGTGAAAGCAGGAAACGGGACATGAGTGCTGTTTTAGCAGCTGCTGTGAACTCTAAACTGTCTGCTGCCGCAGCCACACCATCATCATCTCATACAGAGCCAGCAGGTGAGCAGGGTCAGTTTGCTGCCGGGCCATCATCATCCCATACAGAGCCAGCCACACCATCATCATCTCATACAGAGCCAGCTGGACCATCATCATCTCATACAGAGCCAGCAGGTGAGCAGGGTCAGTTTGCTGCCGGGCCATCATCATCCCATACAGAGCCAGCCGGACCATCATCATCTCATTCAGAACCAGCCGGACCATCATCATCTCATACAGAACTAGCAGGACTCACACCCGATCAAACACACCAGCAGGGTCAGTCTTCCCCATTGTTGACGGAATCTCAAGAGAGATTCTGAGAGATGTGGTCAATTCACCAGTTCACCTAGGCAACATTACCTCATCACCAGTGGCTACAAATGTGAACATTAATGCCGATGCGACAAACAACCGAACTTTTCATTTTCATGGATGCATAGTAAATTTTTACAGGTGAAATAGCCCTGCTGATCAGTTTTGCAGTCAGTTGTTTCAATGAAAACAAGGAGTAGATTGTTTTGAATTCACTGTTCACTGTTTTCAGATTAAAAGTTTAGTTGAGGTTTAGTAATAATAGTTCAACTTAAATACTGTTTCATAATTCAGCCATGAAATTCGAGCCTATTTAAGACATTCACACAGCTACTAATTCCACTACGAGGGGTAGATTGTTTTAAATTCACTTTTGAGATTTGAAAAAGTTAAAGTGAAGTTTAGTAGTTCAAAACTGTTTTAGGCATGAACATTTGAGCCTAGATTTGAGACATTCACCCAGCTGCTATACCAGATTGTTGCTGAAACTTGCAAAAAGTACTTGGATTGGAATAGACATTGGTACCGAATAATTATAAGAACTGCATGTAAAATGCATTGTGTAGTGAATGTGTTCCAGTGGAATGTTTGAAATGAATTAAATTCAGGTTCAGTTTGATCACTGAATTCGGAGATTTTTTGTCATTACTATACTTTCAGGAAGCTTAAATTGTGCAGAATCTGTGAGTGAGGTGTTATAAAACAAATATTGACTGCTTATTTCGTGGTATAGTAAAACTAGCCTCCCTCGTGATCCATGGAGCATTTTATTTTCCCTCGGCTTCGCCTCGGGAAAATAGAATGCTCCATGGATCACCTCGGGAGGCTAGTTTTACTATACCACTCAAAGCAGTCAATATTTGTATACTATTGCATGATTAGTGTGAAAAAAAAAACATCGCTAACATGCTTTCATGAGGTCAGAGAAGTCTTGGTTCTCAACTGTACATGCAAATTGTTCCACATGATTGTACAAGTTACAGCAAAGCTTGAGGCATTTCTTTTCTCTTTTTTTGGCAAAAGGCCATATCAGTGGATTGTCTCATTTCACAAATCTAAATAAGTGGTGTAAACATATTTATCATGTATGCAAAGGTGTAATTTTGTTTATACATCTGTAAACAAGAACAGCCTTTTTATACTCGACTCTTTCAGAAAATAACATCCAATTAAGACTATTAAACATAATACTTCAGTATTATCGGTGCGGCTCTCTTCAGACAATAAGTCATTTGCGAGTTAAATCTGAATAAAATCTGGAATGCTGACTTAATCCAATGCTTTGCATGTTTTGACTTTGCATTTTCCCGACCAAAGAGACTGTTACTATATCACGTGATTCAGGGCAAGCCTTATGCTAGCAACCCCCAGCTCCGGCATGGTCTGTTGTCTTTGTGCCATTCTCAGCCATTGTGAACGATGTATCGGTGCTGAGCGTCTCTTATGTAACTATGCAAGAACTTGCCCAAATCATGTGATTAGCGACAGTGTCTTTAGTCTGGCAGAATTCAAAGTTAAAATGTGCCAAGCATTCTGAGCAAGTCAGTGTACCAGATTTTTTTAAATTTAAATCTCAAAGGGTATAGGTCAC